TTCCACTTGACATCTTTCTTCAGTACTGTACAGCTGTACAGCGGAGCCAGCGTCATTGACATGTTGGGGACCAGTCGCTGGTAGTAGTTAACACTACCGAGTAGCGTTCTCAGCTCACTGACGTCCTCCGACTCCGGCATCTTCTGCAGTGCTTCAATCTTCTCTGGCACAGGTTTTAAGTCCGTTCCTGATATTCTCCACCCCAAATAGGTGACTTGCTTCAGGTTGAACTCGCACTTGCTCTTCTGCAGCCTCACTCCATGCTCCTTCAGTCGTGTAAGCACCAAATCCAGGTTCTTCAACATCTCTGCTTCCGTCTCACCCATCACCAGGAGGTCATCCGATAGCCAACACAGCCATCTAGGCCCTCTATGATCCGGTCCATTGCTGACCGGAAGATGTCTCCACAGGAACAGATCCCGAACGGAAGACGGTTCATCCTCAGCAGTCCCTTGTGCGTTGTGACTGCCGTCATGTCCTTGGACTCATCGTCCAGCACCATCTGCAGGTATGCATCCTTCAGATCCAGTTTGACAGACAGACACAGACACACAGACAAAGACAGACACATACAGCGACATCTATCCTGAATATATTGTATAAGCGACAGTTGCGCCATCTCGGCAGTGTGTTTGTTCGACAGCAGAACCCTACGAAGCAAGCTGTGAAGACTTTCCGAGGTATTTTTCCACGATGGCTATTCTCGCACGCCAGGCGCTCGCCGCCCGGTGTATGCTGCAGCTGCCAGCACCGCTCGGTTGGTGGAAACCGCAACGCTGTTCATAGGTATTCTTGCTGCTAAGATTGTCCGCACGCAGGTTCCAAACTATTGATGCGTCTGTTTCACAAGTCGTTTCGCAACAAGAATGGACTTTCTCGCTTATATTGCCTTTTTATTTTTGACCTCGTTTTAATCCACTCTGTTGGACACTAAGAACACTACCTTTTACAGGCAAGGAACAGTAGAACAGTTGGGAACAGTTGGGGATACATTACATTCCCGGTCAGGGGCGAAGGGCTATTCCGTTGAAGAGGGGATTGTCTGCCTGCTATCGTGGTGGTGGCAGAGGGGCGGGATCCCTGGTCGAAACGGAAGCCATTCATACATTAATCGTCTGCCTGACCACGGATGTCTACTGAGCCGAGCATTTGGACCTCTTATCGAAGCATTTGAGCGAAGCAGAGCCCCTCATGGACGCAAAGAATCCTTTTCGTCGCAGCTGTCCAATCATCGTCACAGAGAGTTCTGTTCAGCATGGCGAGCCCCTAGCTGAAATGGGATGGAGGGCCCCTTCGCTATTGAGGCCCCTGAATGATACAAACCTATCATTGTCTTGTTGGGGACTCAAACGTAATCACCGAGCGGGGACATCGAATAAAACTGAGAATTGACTCACATCAGACAGAATCATTACTTGAAATAGATCCGAAGCGTTGAACAACGATCACAAATTAATGTTGAATCGATTAAAAAAAATGATGGAAGACAGGTGTGGACTGACATCACTGCCCAAGGTCAAAAGGGTCATGTTGCTATTGGTACGTATCTACGCCTGGGAGGCGGGGTGACGAGTTGTGGTCAAGGGTGCCGACGTGGTCCGGACGACGACCCTCAAAGTAGCCATGCTTTAATCCACGGATTGTGGATCAATCCACGGGTCGGACTGGATCTGATCAAAAATCTTCACCAAAACAGAGGTAAGAACCGGACTAAATTTTCTGATTTGGCAGCTCACAGGGTCTGAATGCAGTGAAAACGAATGCATGGAAATTGCTACGACAGGTTTTTTACATGCTTAATGAAAACCTCTCGCACCAGGGCCTTTAAACTAATAACATACGTTACTTATCATTCCAAGCAATGCACGAACACGCTATGAAATATATATCTCTCTTTCACACATTGCATGAAAATTATGATGAAATAATCACATTCACAATGTGAAAGAGTGATACTCAGATGTGCTGCTATGCGGAACCAGACCTCCCATTCGTTCCAAGTCAATCAAATATGTTATCAGTTTACACCTTATGTTCAGTTAACATGAGGTGTCAAATGATTTCGACCATTCCTCCTGATTTTGTCGGCGATCCCGTTTAACCTCAGGTGACTGCACTTGAGTTGAAAAAGGGGATAGGAGTAAGTTTTGCTGGTAGAAAGCACACCACCGAATTTAGAAATACAAGCTCCTCAGTGAAAAAAGAAAAACTAACTCCATGTCAACACCGCAGTTTCTGTATACCCATTCAGTCAGCCAGATTGATGAGTTTAACACTAGCTTCAAGTACATCATGCTGCTACAACTGCTCCATTTCCAGACGTCTGCCGGTACGCTGATTGCTGGATCCTCACCATTATTCGTTTACTGATTTTCATGCGTCAAATGAAAGCTCGGTAAGATTTTGAGTGGTTTGTGCAATCACCAGGGCCATTTGCAAACGTCTGATATGTTTATGAGATGTCAAAGCGCCAGCGGTCATGTCATATGTCGGATGATGGACGACAAGAACCTAACCCAAACAATGCGTTTGTGAAAATGGGAGGATTGCTGATTTGTGTCTTGAGCGGACAGATGGTTCTTTCGGCGCACAAGACACGTCACGCACTTGACTACAATGGTGCACCATCGGATAAAATATTAATGGTGCCTCTCCTAGTTAAAACTCTAATGTTAAAACTAAAGAACGGATGCGTTACTACATATCATCGCTGATATGCCTGATTACATATCATCGCTAATATACATGAAAAATGTGTCTTAAACTGAGTTAATGTGATTTCATGTGGCAGTACCATGCGCAATTACAGATAGAAGAACTCACGGATTTTTCAGTGTAAACAAAAAAGAACATTGCATAGTATCCGGCATTAAGCACTATGATTAAAAAATGACGCAACTGCTTCATTCCCCTAGATGAAACAACAGGTACTGCAGGCAGTGGACAGACGCATATGAAGATTGTAATGTTGACGCGGCTGCTAATCTACAGAAATAATGTTCGTAGGTGATGTTCCATGTGGTGGTGTGCCTGAGAATGGTCAAACACCTGATGTTTTAAATACGAGGTCAGCTGGTCATTCTAATGATTGAGAATGCGTACTGGATGAGTATCGTCCTGTGCTTGTGAACTGGGTGCCGCTGAAACTGCCTAGAGGCATGTACATTTATGGTGCAAATTACGTTCCCAACGGATAAGTTGTTGTAATGAGTATCTCAGCACCCACTGGGTTGTGGCATATATCACACGTATTTCTCCAATGGAAGTCAACGATGTTATTAAATTTAAGATGCTGAGAGCAGCCAAACATCCTGCTCAAATTTCCAAAAGTTCATGTGGAGTGGATTTGTACGGTCTCATTTAATCATTGTTTCTTGTAACGCGGGCAAGAGCGGATTGAATTGGAGAATTTGAAAAAAAAGATCGTTTGGAGGGCGGGATTGGATCTGGGCTGGCCGGAATGGACTGGACCGGATCATGAAAATTAAATCCATGAAATGCTCTAGCGGGCGGTTATTTGTCCCTACAAGTGCCGCTCAGCTGAACGGCGAAGTGCAAGGGCGTCATGGCCATGGCTGCACCCTCAGCACCGCCCGGGTTCAAACGCCGTTCATGACCCCTAAGCGCTATTTTGATCACTGAAGCTGCTGGCTCTCCTGAAAAGGCTGCGCTGTAACCGCGATCCCTCTAAAACGAGGAGCTGTGGGCGTGAATCCCGCGTGGCCCGGCCATGGCGCCGGTTGGGCTCGTGTCGTGTTGGTGTTCGCTGGCCGTCGGGCCAACGGACAGGTCAGGGGGAGGTCGGAGGTCAGCTATGGTTGTGCGAGCAGGCGCGAACTGTCACAATGTGGACTCTCGCTGCCTGGAGTCATGACTCCTTGTGTTATTCTGTCGGACGAAAATGTCGGCGCATGCCACGACGTTAGCTCGGAAATGGTCAGTCAGCAGATGCTGCTGTTGCATCTCCGAATCGGCGGAGTCCACCCTCAGGTCAGCCATCGGCGCCTTTGAGGCTGATAGACGGATCCGAAGAGGACCTCTCGACTACCATCGGGGGCGATAAGGGTACTGAACGACTTAAGCTTGCTGCCAGGATAGAAGGCTACAGTTGCTTTGATGCACGTCACTTTGATCTCGTTCCGAACGAGCACTGCAACGCCCTCGATATGTATAGGGCAATTTATGCATATAATTTTGCATAAAGGGACAGCGGCATGCACCATTCATGAATATCATTTTGCAGTCGTCTTTGCAGCGTTGCCAGCCTGAATAATAACGGCGCTGGTTCAAAGCTGTAAAGTATTGTCACTCGATGTTTCAATTATTTATGCTTTTCTTTAGGCTCATTATGGTGTAGCGTTTTGGTCCTATGTTTTGGGATTGTTCATTCACCTTTACTCTGACAGATATCATCTTTTGAGCTTCGATAACATTCTTTTTAATCATGTGCCAGCTAATCATCAGTGAGAATGGGTACTTTGCTGGGTGCATCATCACCAAAACATGGACAATTGTTTGAGATCACTTCCAATCAGTCACATCAACGCTATGCAAGAACATGTTGCTCGGTAGCACGGAACTTTGAGCGCTGAGATGATGCAACTCAGGCCGCACATCTCCATATATTTTGTCACATCAGACAGTTGCTGAAAAGCCAGTTAAGAAAAGACTGAATTTTGGAAATTACGAACATCCACAACCTCCGCACACTTACAGCAACATATAAGGCACACATTAAAAATTTTGCAAGCTGTTGAGAGTTCTACGTTACAAGAATCTCAAGGTCTCCAAGCAAGCTGTAGTACAGAAAGCATCATTGCAACTCAGCGTCTCACAGGTGTGATTCATGGGTTTTCCAGCATTGCTGCTGAAATTAAGCTCGCGGTCAAACACCAGCGTGCCACACGGATTAACGTGTTTATCGGTGCCCCGCTGAAAGCAGTCATAGCCCTATATAAGACGACCCGCGGGACAGTGTGTATGCTCTTGGCTGCTGTTCGCACTGCTGATCACTTGTTCGCAAGGCACAGAGATGAACTTCCAGCTACTGGTAAGTGAAAATGTTGGAATGAAATGTTGGAATGAATCTTGAGTGAAAAATGTGTCCATGAGAAGACATTTACCGGTTCATGCACTCGGAAATTTTTCACGTGTCGCTGGAATATTTTAACAGGCCATGGTCGACGACGTGTTGAGCGAACAGTGCCATATAGCGGGAGTCATCAATTATGTGAGGCAGATGTAAGGGACCACGACCTATGTTTACTTGTGCCAGATGATGTGTAGAAATCAACGAATACTTTAAAAGATATCTCCCCCTCTCTCCCCTTCACCTTGTTTCTCTCCGTCTCTCCCTCTCTCTCTTTCTCTCTCTCTCTCTCTCCCTCTCTGTCTATTCCCGTGTCTTTCTCCCTCTTCCTCTCTTTCCACCTTACCCTCTGTTTTCCTGATCTCCATCTTTCTCCCTTCTCATGTCCCTCCGCGACGTGTAGCCTCCCAACATCGCACTCCATTATTCCAGCCTTTCAGCCACCTTCTCCTTCCATTCCCCGTCTTTACCTCACTCCTCGAATCAAGCCCTCCGTTCCACCCCTCCTACGTTCATCAGTCCATTCATCCCTTCGTCTCTTCCGCCATTCTTAGGACTTTACGTCAGCCGATCCCTTGTTTTCTTCCTTTTAGCTGCTCTTTCCTTGCAATGTCCTCCCCGTTTTGCCGCTGCGACGTGGCAAATACTTTTATGTGATCAGACTTTAAGCATGCTTACCTGCAGTTCAGATGACGGCTGCACTTATCTTGCAGGACTACTTTCGATCAATTGACTTGTATGCATTTCTTTCAATAATTTCGTCGCTCTATGATTTGAACGGACAAGCCAATATGATTGTGCAGCTTATACGACGGTGCGTTGTTCCTGTTTCAGATTCTGCTGCTGGTGGCCGTGTTTGGCGTCGTCTCGGCAAGCAGATTCTACGACGGCGACGGTGGCGGTGGTTACGGATACTCCAGTCGTGACGGAGGACGCTACCGCAGTTATAGTGGAAGGGACCGCGGCAGTCATGGCAGAAGGCACTGGGGCATGCACGGCGGCGGCGGCCTCGGCGGCGGCATCGGCGGCGGCGGCCTCGGCATCGGTATCGGCGGCGGCCTCAGCGGCTAAGGCCACAATTGTGGCCACAATCGCTACTGACGACACAACATATGACTTGGGAGAGCCGTCAGCGGGAGAGCTATCCCGTTTGTCTCCCCGCGGTGTGACCCGACCCTGTCCTGCACAGTGACCGCTGTCGCAACTGGCCACTGTCCGTCTAACTCTGATCGTCACCTGGAACTGCATCTCTTCTGCAAAAATAAATCTGCACATTTACGGTCCGTTTTAAGGAACAACGGAGCAATTATTTCATCTTAGTGCCACGAATGTCAACGTTTTTGTGCCTCGCGATAGACGCCGTGGGGCGGAATTTTGCTCAACAAGTACTCTGCGTGCTTTTCACAATGCACATGCTACATATTTGCATTGGTTGGTATTTTATCACATAGAAAAAAAAATGGCAAAGTGATAGATTGAAAGCTTTGTCATTCAACATTGAAGCAAAACAATTTATTAAACATGCTCTTACTTTTGACTCTACTCTTTTATAATGCCTGCGGCACTATACCAAGATGTTTCGGCCACACACGTACCGATTCATTTCCCAGGCATTGGCGTTGCGCCTGTGTTGGAGGGTGTTGGCTCGTGTTTCAGCACCCCTTGTTCTTGTTGATGTTTACCGTGGCTCAGGCTGACTATGGCTTGGTAAAAGGATGTAGGATCCTCTTAGTTGAAGTTAAGATGTGGTTGTTTAAGCTGTCCCTACAATGGTGTGCAATATAATATGAAGAGGCACACTATTGCATGGAATCCTCGCCTTGAAGTGGCGATGACGCGAAGTATAGACGACCTCATGCGGCAGGTGAGACCAGGGCTATATTGCCTGGTATAATCGCCCGGTACGGGAATGTTGTAACAGACAAGGCCAAGGTAGAAAAGTAAAGATAATTGTTTTACATGATGTGTAGGCACATTGCATAATCAGCAGAGCTCTATACTTTAGCGAACTATTTTTCTGTGCTCATTGTATGGCAGAATGTCGTACCAACGTGATTGGTAACTGCGAGGGATATGGCGAAAAACCACACCTAGGCCTTTTTAACGCTCGCCTTGATAGGGAGGATAGGAGGTGGAGTTGATGCCCCCCCCCCCCCCCCCCCGTTGAAGTGTTCTGAGGATAGCTCTCCAGCAAGTTGCGTAATCGCGCTCAAGTTTTCAGCAGCCTACAAGGTATCCAATGCGCGTGTTCTGAATTCAAAAAACCTCTCCGTAGCTTCTCTGGTTTCCGAGCAGTGGCAATCACTTAAAGAACGCTGCACGACGCTCCACAGTCGGCAGCACCCAACCAATCTGTTGATTGCGCGTGGCGAGCTGACATTTTAAGATAACAGTGCATTAAACTATATGTTCAAAACACACAAAAATGTACATCAACGTGCTGAAAAGAAAACAAAAAAGAAGACATGTGTTTACTTCTATACGTACACGTGGCTCGCTGTCGTACATATTGACATGAAAGCTAAAAAAGTGTGATTTTCAGGAAAACCTAAACCTTAAACCTAAAAGGCGAGGTCCACTCTGTCATGCTGGATTGCATCATCCGACTTGCTCCCAATTTCTGATACCTTTTGCCACACGGCCCTCAAACACCAAAGGAAAACATTACAACAGAGCAACCAAAATACGCCGTTCTTTTTGACATGCCAAACTAACGAAAGCGAAATCAGGAGATAATTGGTCTTAGGACTTGGACTGAGATTTAGTTACACTTCTCTAACACATTGAGACTTTACTGATGTTTGCGGTACTCCAGCTTGATCAATCCCGCGCCCACTTCTTCCCGTAAAAATATTGTGCGGCGCTAGAGTTCTTAGGGCAATCTATGCCCCCTAAACAGTCTTAGCCATTGCACACGGTCCTGGCCATCCGTCCTCAAAGCAACGGCATCTTAACCATGCAATTATACAGCTGTCCTATGTTTTTAGTAAATTTCATATCGTACTTTGCATAAAAATCGATATCAAACTGGGATACCGGGTGATCCCACGGGACTATCCACTGCACAGGGTTCGGATTGGTTGGTGGTTGGTTATTTGGGCCTCAGGGCACATCGGCGGCACGGTAATAAATCATCCATGGATGCAGACAGGCTCCGCGCTATGTCCATTGTCACCTCCCCCATTGCTAGGAACTCCGTCGGCTGTACTACTTCCACGACCTAGTCATTAAACGACATGGTGCACTGTGCTGAACGTTTTTGACTTCTCGTTGAGATGATCCAGTGTCTGCGTATAATAGTGCCGACTAGACATTTGAAGGCATGCAAATCGTGGCCCGTTATCGAGATCTTCAGGATTACCAAGCCGGGGAAAATGTATTCAGAGCGGCAGTACACATATGAGCAGACACAACGCCTTATAGCTAAACTAGGCATAACTCATCCCGCCCAAACGACTTCTCATAAACACAATAAAACAACATTGACATGTTATACAGCCCCAAACGAGACCGCACCAGCAAGGTGCTGTACAGTTTGATGTTCTCAGGCAAACACATCATCATCAAGTCATCAAATACGTCAACAAACACCCTTACCACATCCCATCGCATCAAGCCCTTCCCGCTTCCGCAACCACAAACAAGACAAAGATTGCGCAGCATTAAACGGGACTCCATCCCAGCCCTGCGCACAGCAGCAGCCTGAGCCGGGCCGGCAGCCGGGACGGGCATGTAGCGAGCGGCTGGGTGCCCCAAGACAAGCATTGTCGGCTAGTGTTGTTGGTAGCTATGTGTATGTACTGAAAGGCATTGGGTATTTTCACAAGGCGGCAACTGATGTGCATGCAATTATCACAGAAATGGGAGAAAGCAGCCCGCCTAAGAGCATTTCTAAGGTGCGTTATCTGTTTGTTTAACTGCCAAACTTGTTGTCTGATGACATCAACTTGACATGGCATGTTATGCGACGCAGCGCCCGGTTTTGCTCGACGCAATCCTGCAGGCTGTGCGGCGCTGCGGCGATCACGGCTGCGGCGACGCTGTCCCAGATCCCGCTGGGACGGGTGGTTGCCCCTTCCGGCCTTCGGAGGACGACCGGCGAGCACATGCTGCCGTCCACGAAGTGGACTGCTCTTCCGCCCCTCTGGACGGAGGACAGTGGCGGTGGTCACGTTTTTCCTCTGGCCTATTCGACGCTGCACCGTAGGGCTGACTCCGGGGGGTGACGGAGGGCGTGGCGGCGCACCAGTCCGTCATGAATGCTGACAGCTCCCCGTCCCATGTCCGGCCTTGCTCAGGGTGATTGTCCAAATCCTGAAGAATGCACTCCTGCATCCTGCTTAGCAGCTTCACGTGCAACGGCCGTTGGGTCAGCCCAGTGTCCTAGAGTTGCCGACTTTGGGTATAAAGCAACACGCTATGAGGGAAAATTTGTAAACTCATTTTTCGCATACTTAATGTGGACTCTTCACTCCTGCCTAATATTGTCTAGCCACACATACCAAATCCGTATTTCCCTTTCCGTGGAGGGGGGGGGGGGGGGAGGCAGGGTGATAGTTGGTCTCAGAAGAAAACAGATGGTCCCTCTAAGACAGAAAAATTGCCATAACGATAACTCGGGAGACAGTTGTTCTCAGCCTTCATCCGGATGTGGTCCTTTTCAGCATTCCAGCGAGCAGAAGGGCCGGGCCAGTCGTATCTCCCTCCACTGGCTTGTGGCCTCGACTTGAGATGGTCAGAAGCGAAGCAGGGCAAGATAATTGTCATGAACGTTAGCCAACTGTATCCAGCTTTAAACGTATCCGACAGGTTGGGTCCTCCCAGGTTGGGTCGACAACCCAGAATCGTGCGAAAGCGTGAATCTTTTCGCAAGCGGCACTTCGATTGGCGCCATTATCATCATTTGTATCAGCCTGTTGGAAGACGGAGGACATTCTTATGTCGTTGTTTATGGGCGAAGTAACTGCCCCGGTGGGTTGATGGAGTTCAGGCTATGGTTACCCCTTTCTATCCACTGCATGCATGCTGTCCACCTGCGTGAGAGAATATATCTGTCCCCGTCAACACTTAGATAAGACCAGAGCTATGTCTTGATTCGGTACGTTACAAGAAAATAAGCTATGTCCAGCACCGCCGGCTCGGCAATGCTGCGAGCTGTGTAGGCACCGAAATATACGCACAAAATTGTATGTTATTCAGAGCATGTACATCGTACCATTACACCGTTAATTGTACACCGTGTAATTGCATTGTACACCGTTAATGCACAGGACTTACACGTCGACACACCTTACAGCCCTAAAACTACGCATAGAATATTATGTTGTTCAGAGTATGTACACCGCACTACTAACAACGTTAATGCACAGGACTTGCAGTTTCACACACCTTACAGCCCCAAAACTACGTAACTAGTAAATCTACTTGCGGTTAGCAGCACAGGTATTTCTTGAAACAGAAAACTGATTCGGAAACATCACAATAATACAATATACTCACACGCAAGTCTACACATCACTGATGTATTTGAATACTGGTGTGCAAAGAGCGCCTGCTTGGACAGGTTGTGCCTCACATGGGTACGAAGCATTCCACTCACCTGTAATATTTTGTCAGTTGGCATGGACGCGGACACGCAGATACCTGGCCACAATCTCTTCCACCATTACCACAGCATGGCACTTCTCCGCTTGCGGCTCGAACATGTGGTCTAGCACGCCAGGGAACAGTTCGTGGCTGCGTTCAGTCATTAACTGCACCACAACACTGCACTGCATACTCAGCGACAGCTAAGCTCGGTCCATCTTACTGCACTTCCGCAAAGCGGTCAAATGCCGCTCAACTGCCGTAACGATCACGTACGTCGACGCCGACGGGATGAGCAGCCCACCGATGTCCCGCACTTTTACGAGACCCATCACTTCATGCGACGGAGGGTCGTCCTCGTTGCACAGAAGTGCACTAACGCACTCACCACACCCGATCGCGCTCGTTTCCACCCGCTTGCGGCACATATAACCGGAGATGTAGCCAACACAGTTGTCAACGAACCCCGAGCCGGTGTTTTCCGTCGTGTACTGGAAATGTGTCGCGTTGTTGCACTTGCGCTGTAGCTATGCTCTGGGCCACCTGGGTGATGTTGGAGCTTCTCTGGGGTGTGCTGCAGCAGTTGCTGCTCTGGTGCAGGCTGAATCTGTTGCAGTTTTGAGGCAGGCTGTGGAAGTGCCTCCTCTGGAACAGGCTGCAGAGGCACCTCCTCTAGGGCAGGCTGCACCTGTGCCTCCTCTGGAGCGGGCTGGTGTGG